TGATAAATTCTGTCCTTGACCAGCATCACCTCCACAAACACGCATGTCTAATTGCAGAAGTCATTTCCCTGGCAGCACAGATGAGCAAGCACCCTATGGTCAAAGCAGACCTGAGACATTAAGGGCATGAAATACTGATCGAAGCAATTCTGTCCATGTCTCTCTCCATCTACATTATGCATGTGCAGAGACTATTCTGATTTCTCTCTCTCATACTAACTCACTTTACACAGTAGCTCACTGCCATCATTACAATTTCCATCCAAATCATAACCATTTCAATGGCACCACAAAGTCATATCTTAAAGATGTATTGTATAAACTCTGCAAACATTCCCAGAACCCAGGCAGTCTCAATAGTTTACTTTTAACATTAGTATAAATTGAGATGACAAAACGAATATTCATCAATATGTTCTACTTTAAACATATAATATGACACATGGCAGGAAATCTCAACTGAACAATCCTGGAGCTGAAGTAAAACAAAGACAAAAGCAATCACAGGCCTACTAATACTCAAGCTAACATAAGGGACTCTGATTAGCCCCTAATGGATTTAATGATCTTGTGAACAACAATTGTCAATCTCTCCAATGGCTTCCCCAATCACACTGCGTATCCCTGTCGGCCTTTTCTCTGTTATACCCTAAATGAGCTCAGCTTCTTCATTAAGCAAAGATGAATATTCAAAGATGAATACTCAAAAAGAGCCCACACTCTGCATGTGCCTGGGCTTCCATAGCTGTCCTACAAATACAGACTCAATTAGGGGACATAATGGCCACGACTGTTTGTTTGGTAAGTCTTTTCTTTATGTTAAGCTTGACAAGACAAACAGACTCCCACAGGGACCAGACAATAATTTATTACTCTGGATTTGTCTACATGCCCCATTATGCTCTTATATGGACAATGTTTCATTAAAGGAATACTTCAAAATTGTGGGATTATGAATAAATGTTGTATAATGGTTCTTAAGCATGGTATTCAATGAGTCAGTCATCAATAAGCTCCTACGTAATTTGAAAGACACCAAGTGTTATGTCCTCATTAGCACTTGAGTGAACAACCTGGTTTTTAAAAGTAAACTCATCAAAATCTGCATGAAAAGCTAATTATCTGTGAGAATTTTGTAGACTGTGAAATGCAGGCAGACTGTTGGGTGGCATTTTATCAGACTCACAACTTAATCTGTGGCAGACATCCTAAAAGCATACTGCTCTACTGCAGAATCAAATATGAGACACATCCCTTTTAACAATTAATGTTAACATCAACTCTTGTTCTCCTCACAGTTAGATCACACTTCATATCTCTAAATTATATTATTGACTTCTGCTTTGTGCTAAAAACCTGCACTGCCACTAAGTCTTCCTGTCCCTAAGGTACTGCATATAACACACTGTGTAGTATTGAAATTGAAACAACACTGGTTCAAAATGGCTTTCACAAAGAGAATAAATCCTTAAAAAGCCTAGCAAGGAAAAACACCTTCAGTGATGGGAACTCTGCAATGCAATTTGAAGGCTGGAAGCTTGTGCTGTATTCTCTGCACCCCATTCCATCACAAAGGACCATTCATTAAGGGGGCAGGGAGAATGGCTGTTTTTCAATGGTGCGCCAGAAACTTGGGAGCTCTTTTGGAGAGCATCCACGAGTTACCTCCTCCTGCTGCCTTGGAATGCAAACCCTCCACCCTTATGAAAGATTGACTTGTTGGTAGCAAAGCCATGCCTTGTTATTTCCTAATTCTCTGGTGCTAGTGCTTTTTTGTATACAATGGTAGGCATAGCCTAGTCAGTTTAAAAGAGCTTTTTTCATGCACGTCGGAGAGGTTTGAGCTTTGATGACTGGTAAATGATGTTAGGTGACAGCACTGTAAGACAAAAAAAAACCCAGACTTTGTGATATTGCTCTGTCTAGGCAGAACGTCACAGATCCACTGTCAACCTTTTCATGTCGGTTTTCTCCGACAGCTTTGTTGTACCTCATGAGATGAGAAAGGACGCATCTCAAAATTCTGTCACAAGGCATTCCTTTGGAGATCACAAGCATATCACGCAGCAATCCGGTCTGAAAGAAGTTTGAGCGGTTTTGGTAGTCCACACTGGAACATATTACTCACATCACGTGTGAATTGTCATTTAAAATAAACTCTCTAATTGTGCCAAGAGGACTGCCATTTTATCTTGCACTATGGGCCAGTTTCCCAGACCCATACTAAGGCTAAGCCGAGACTAAAAAGCATTTTCAATGATAATTCTCCATTGACACTGAAATTTAGTCCAAGATTAGGCTTAATCAACATTCAAGAAACTGGACTATGTGTCCAAAAGTTTGTAGACACCTGCTCACCCAGAATTTCTTCTGAGATCAGGAGTATTAAACAGGCGTTTGCCAGCCCTTTGCTGCAGTTACAATCTCTACTCTTCTGGGAAAGCTTTACACTAGATTTTTGAACACTGCTGTAAGGACTTCATTGCATTCAGCCTCAAGAGCATTAGCGAGGTCAGGTACTGAAGATGGATGATTAGTTCTACATCACAAACACCACTCCAGCTCATCCCAAGGCCCAACGCTTGAGGGCTTTATACCCCTCTAATCAATGGTTCGCATTGAGCATGGTGACCTTAGGCATATGTGTATCTGCTACAGAGTATCCTGCACTTTTGTTAATGCTTTTCTATGGAGATTAAGTGTCAGTGTCAGCAAGGGGTGCACCTAAAGTAGCTGTATTCACTTATTAGAAAAGCTGTCTCTAATATCTCTTTTTGACACAGGCTATAGTGTATCACCGTGTATAACAGACTAGGCCGCTCATGGATGTGCCTTTCATAACAAGCATCTTAAGCTCCTGTTTAAAATGTTTTTTGAACGTTTCACAACGCACTTAGTCTTAAACTGCCCCATCCCTATTGCTTGGAATGTGTTGCTGGTAACAATTTCATAATGAGCATACATTTACGAAAACAATGGAGTTAAAAGGTAAAACATTAAATATCTTGTCTTGGTAATGTTTTAATTTAAATACTGTTCAAAATGAATTTATAAATCACTGCTGTTTTTATTTGCATTTCACATACTCTACCAACTTTTCTGTAAAATAAACATTCTGCTTGTGCCAGCTACAGATGTGAGGACTGCCATTTCATCTTATGACTCAGCAGAAGACTATACCAACCCGTGCTTTGCTGGAACTTGAAAGAGTATGATGTAACAGAGCTATTTGGTTCCTCAATAATGATGTAACTGTAGGTACTCAAGGGCCATTTAGCGCTATAATTAGGTTTCTGTGCCAGTGCTGACAATAATGACTCAAAATTCATTCTGAACAGTGAAAACTGGCTCTTGACAATATGAATACCTGTGTCTGATTCACAACAATTCTCTCTTCTCTCCCTCTTTGGAAGTAACTGAATTCACTGTGTCTCATCATTTTGTGCAATCTTTACACGTGATATTGTAGATGACCTAGAAAATTCACCAGTGTTGTTCACCTTCTTCCTTTCTTACTGTATATGCAAGACGCTTACATAAAAGAGGCAAAAAGCCTTGTCCCCTCCATGTACATGGTATAAATGACTGTCCACTCTGTTAAAAATATAGTACACTGTTGATGGCTATGTAGAGAATTTGGTACTGTATTAAGTACTGGGCGATATATCATCTGCACTGGTATTTCTGCATAGGTGTTAGACAGTGATTTTTAGTTTTAGCGGTACTGATAGTTAACAAAAGCTCAATTAACTGCATATTTAAATGTATACTATTTGCTGGCTGCTTCATACTGTTTTCAAAGAATAGTTCCAAACACATCCTAAGTAAATAATCACTAGGTTTTCTTACTACAGAAAAGAAAACAGAACATAAACAGACCAATGAACAACTATTTTACCATGGAGTATCAATGCATGGGTTCTTTAACTGAATTAATGCAAACTTAAATATCATTTGACACTCTGATACCATGATATATTCGGAAAATACTGCCGTGCTGAATTATATCAACATCACCCAGCACTAACTGTAATATGGAATAACATTTATTGCCTTTTGTGGTGATGACTATGCTGATTATTTGCTATTGTGGGAGGTTCATGTCTTTCCTTGTCTATAAACTACTTGATTTGTATTGCATGTTAACTGCCTGGATGTGCCCGTTCTTGTGTTATGTTACGTAGATATTCGCGTGTTGTCTTTTGTACATATATTCAATATGTATAGCTATCCGTATAGAAGGAACATTTTCAGTAGAGGACAACAAAGCCTCCATATTTACTTCTTCTGCCAGGCAATTGGAGCGAAATGCTGATACCGCTCTTTAACGTGTCATGCGTCATGATATGGTTATAACATCCAGCCTTTTACATTCTGGTCATGCCTGCTAGGAAACATATTTCAAGACCCTGGTTTTCAGCGTTATGGTTACTGCGTGGATCACACTGATGTTACTGCTAATAACTGGAGAGATAAACGCTTTTCTTGAGTTTATACTGCATTTCTTTTCTCTGTGCACCTGTTGGAAGAGTGGCTCAACGCATTAAGACGCCCCCTGCCGGCCATACGCAACATTTAAGTCATGACAACGACATGTTAACATCACGTTAGGATTGAACAACAGAGTTCAGAGACTAAACTGCCCAACCAATTCTCAGACAATCTGCATCTTATGACAGCCGCATCGAGCCATGTTAGCGGCTAACAGCCTCTGTCCTTTTGAGTTTTGCCCTCACTCACTGCAACAAACGAGGCTGAAGTTGGCTTCCTCTTCGAACTCCCCGTTCCACCTTAAATGGTGCAGCAGTTCCATTCTGGCGCCTGTACCATTTAAGGTGGAACGGGAAATTCGAATAGAAAGCCAACTTCAGGCTTCGTCTTCAGCATAAACAGTGTTAATGCTCACCATTTCCGATGCCCTTTAGCTGGCAGTTATAATCCTACTGAGTTGTGAGGACTCAAATGTGTCTAAACGGAAAAAAGATGTTAAACTCACTTACCGACTCCGAGCTTTTCGTCCTCCGTCGGTGTCCACATGATCCCGGTTTAAATTCCCCAAGACACCAAACGCGAAACAGGACAGTTTTAGCTACATGAAAGTTGTGATGCGCTCAAAAAACGTTTGATGGGGGGGGAAAAGCGACAGGCTAGCTAAGCTAGGAGTAAATCAAAACAACGTCTAGCTAGCTGATTAAAAAGGCTTTGGCGACCATACTTCGTCCTCTGAATGACACATCTTCTCAGCTGAAGTGTTTTCTCTCTCTCTCTCTCTCCTCTCCCCCTCTCCCTCTCTCTTCTCGGAGGTTTTCCTCTTCGTCAGCAGGAAGGCTCGCAGAGTTGTTGTCCAGGAACCGGGGGAGAGATCTTGTCTTTTCTCTCCCGCACCGTCCACCCAGCTAACACGGCGGAGAGAGAGAGAGAGACGGCGGTCGTATCTCTCTAACTGGGTCGCACATCAGCGTCTCTCTCGCTCACTCTGCACCTCTGCCGGGCTGAGGGAGGAAAAAAAACCGTTACGAGATTTGAGAACCGTTACGAGATTTGAAATTTGAATCAGCACCGGCGGCGCGCGCCCCCTCCTTCGTCTTCACGCACGTGCGCGCGGGTAGAGTAGTACTTGCTTGTTGCTTGCTTGTTTGTTTGTTTCGCACCTCGACGCGAAGGCCAGCGAGAACGCGGCTCCGTCTCCTTCTCACTCACAGTCGGCGCTGCGCCATCTTTCCCCTGTCCGCCCGCTGCCGCCGCCGCCGCCGTCGTCACATGACACGCGCGCTAGCGCTCCACCGGCCCGTGGAGGAGGAGCGCGCGGCGGGCCGTGAGGTTCCGAGAAGCTCGCGGTACCACCATGCTGAAAAAGGACCGTTAGAAATCAAGGGAATGGTTCTGTTTAGCTTGATGGAAAGTGTTTTGTGTATGGCTCTGTATACATTCTTTAAAAGGATGGTTCCTCAAGGGCCCTTTAGTAAAGAAAATGGTTCTATAAGGAACCATGAACACTCAAAGAACCCTTTGTATGATTATATGTTTCTTTGCATCATGGGTTCTTCAAAAATGTGCTATGTATGGTTCTATATAGAATTGTTTTGAAATAGGTTCTATTTATCACTCAGAATGGTTCTTCTACTGTTATGATGTCAAGCTTGTAACAGTAGAAGAACCCTTTTGGGTGCTATATAGAACCTTTTTCAAAAAGGTGCTGTAGAAAACTATCTGCAGCACATTCTCTATCGGAATGAAGAACGCTTTCATGATGCAAAGAACCCTTTAATTATACAAAGGGTTCTTTGAGTGTTCATGGCTGCTCATAGAGAACCATTTTCTTTACTAAAGAACCGTCTTTTAAGAGTGTAGGAGCTATTTGGAAATGTTTCTATATGGGACGAAAAAGGGTTCTTTTGTTGTAACAAGCTTGACATTGTAACAATAGCAGAAGCCTTTCTGCTGCTATATACACTCTTTAAAATATGGTTCTTCAAGGGTTCTTTAGTAAAGAAAATGGATCTATATACAACCATGAACACTTTGCATGATTAAAGGGTTCTTTGCATAGTGAAATGGTTCTTTAGATTGATTCAGATTGTGCTATAGATGGTTCAATACAGAACCTTTTTGAAAATAGTTCTATGTAGCACTAAAAATGTTTTTTCTATTGTTATTGCTAAGCTCGACATAGACACAATAGAAGAACCCTTTTTGGTGTTACGAAAAATCTTTTTCAAAAAGGTTCTATTCAGAACCATATACAACACACTCTTCATCAATCTGAAGAACACTTTCACAATGGTAAGAACCCTTTAATCATGCAATGGTTTTGCTCTTCCCAGCTCCTCCCCTGTTTCAGATATGCATTGAGGGTTATTTGACTGAAGTTCATCTTTGATAGCCATAGCAGAATTGCCTGCAATGTGAACACAGCCTTTGTTCTTCAGCTGTAATGTGGGTTAAGCAGCCATCTGTCAAAGCAGCACTAATTCCTTAATATTCCACAGTAATGATGTATGGTGTGGATATAATTTTGACGAGCGTGAATGACTTGCCCTACCCATATATGCACTATGAGGGCCATATTCGTACCGCTGAAGCACTTGGGAACCACGTTGTGTTTTCAGTTGTGATGATGTGTCTCAGTTATCATCACTTATCCCATAATCCAGTGTGATCCCGTAAGATTTGACACGTGGCTTTTCCCAACGTGTTGACTGATTATTTTGTGATCAAAGTCTCTCGGCCTCCTTCCATATGTTCTCCCAAGGATAATACCAATTATGCACCATTTTAACTGCTAGAGATAAAAACAAAGACTGGTAGAGGAAGACATTCGGGTGGTCATGTGGTCTGTTATCTACAATACTGGTGAATGACTTTCAGCCTGGAGCAAGAGAGTGAAGTACAGAGTGAGCAGAGACCCTTACAGCAGGCGTCCCATCTCATTTACCCAAGCGTTCATTTTGCTCTGTGTGTGTGTGTGTGTGTGTGTGTGTATGTTTTTAGCTCTTTGTGAGCTCACATGTTCCCAGGATGATGGAAAATCTGAAATTCATTGCAGTTGTGAAAACACAAAGTGTACAATCTTTATTAAAGGAAATGTTTAATCATTTACAACAGCTTTTTTGAATTTAAGTGTTTTAAACATTTAATGGGATTGGGCCTATGACAGTAGGGAACCCTCAGGGCCTTCTAGGCTTTATTACTTCTAATGTAGGACTGAAAGAGTAATTGTTTTTATATTGAAATTGTTATTCAAAAGAGTGCAATATATTTAAATCTCAAGAGCAGCATTTTTTTATTATAGCCTCCATCATCATTAACAAGTCTGAAGTGGGAAATGTAACATAATAACACTGAGCTCGGAAACTACTTGTAGAAAAAACGTGCTGTGACATTGCAACACAACTAACTGGCAGTCTTGCACAGTCTGTTCAGCATTCGAGCCTCATTCCAGAAAAAGTGGAATTTATGATATTTATGGTAAAAAAAAAAAACAGGCCTGGGCCTTAATTTATAGAAGAGAATGGCAATTTAAATCGCAGTTGCAAAACTGGTCAGAAAAATCGTAAAATGGTGTCTTTCCCAAATTGGTCAGCCCTATTCTAGGGCAAAAAATGTATTTAATATAAACATGATACTTGTTGTATTTCAATACTGCAAAATATTGTAGTAATACTCTTAGTTCATTCTTAAGTTTTGGGTTTAAGGGGTTTTGGGTTTAAAGAGTTAAATTCTTGAAACACCCAACAGAAAATTGTCCAATCAGACTTTTCTTTCTCCACAGTAAATAGATAGAAACAACCAAGCAAGCTCTCCCATTGGTGTGGACTTCAGTGAAGGCTTAACACGTCAGATTAACCTGACTGTAGAATCAACCAATCACGTTTTGATTTCCAGTGGCTGGGACCAATTTTGTGAGAAAAAAAGTCACTCTAGAACTTTTGGAAGTCCTAGATACATCACAGACTGGATGCTAGCAGAAATTAGCATTATTGTAGAGGTGCTTTTTCTCATTTTCTTCTTGCTGGGTTTTGACATTTCTAACCTGAACTGAAGCTCTAATATTCACAGTTTACCCCTGAACTATAATGTACATTAATGACATAATTTTTTTTACCCATTTCTTTTGTTGTGCAGCAGTTGGCATTTTCAAAAAGTGCAAAAAATAAATAAATTTCATTGTAAGAATGAACTAAAAAGCTAAAAGGTTTTAACATACTGTTTTGCATTTTTATAGAGAAACGCTACTTTTATTACAAAAGGTTAAACAGGCCAGAGCTCTTTTGTTCACTGAGGTTAAGTTTGGGTTGGGTGAGTCAGAGCACAACAACATTTAGTCAAGTCAAACAGTAGGTAGTGAAAAAAATAACCCACTAAGACAGGAACACGCAAGTGTGTGTGGCTGGAGGGCATGCAGGAAGCTCTCATTATGGCCCAGACAGAGATGGAAGATGGAGAGGTGGATTAAAAAATTATGAAAAAAAGTAAGACGCTCTCCACAAACCAATCAAATATCAGGATGCGCCCCTACAACCAATCAGCTGTCTCATGTGTTGCTGACAGTAGAGTTCCAGCATGCTGCATTTTGCAGGCAGGCCTATTCAGGCCTAATCAATCTATAATTATGCAGACCCTCCCCACACACGCACATGGATGCTCATGGGGATGTGCCTGTGAGTGTGCTCAACCGTATTCATACTGGCACGCAACATCATGCACACATGAACAGACGAGTCAACGGCACATATACTGCACTGGGACGGTCTGAATTGATTTTTGGGAACCTGTTCTATGTATCATTACAAAATTGCACTTGCTACTACAGCACATGTACAAAAGACTGTGAAGAACCATTTAATCCGCTCAAATGTTTCCATACTGACAACAGACTGAGGTTTATTCACAGTTTTTGTGGTTTGAAATTCTCATCAGCTGGTAAACCAACTGAAACACTTTGTCCTTGGACTGTGAATTTAGCGCAGGACGCAGGAGCACTTAAAGTGCTGTTCTGTTATTCTGTTCTTTCCGCTGTACGCTGACATCACAGCTCTTAACAAGACACATCCTCAGCCTGTGAAAAGAAGATCGTGTGACACAGACGTTCCTTCTTTTGGGGTCATGATGTTTAGAGCGAAAAAATGCAATGCTTTTTTTTTACAGTTTCTGTTAAAGGCCACAAAATGGCAACCCATTTGGGGTTTAATCCAAAATTCTCTGAAATTTTATCAGAGATAAAAAATGCAGAGGGGAACTGTCAGGGCCCTCTACACCCTCAGAGAGGGTCTAAGATATTCTAAAAACAATATTAATAATATTAAGCAGTTCTAGTTTTATCTGATCATATTAATCAACATCTAAACAAACACAAGTCTAAGCAAATAAAACCTTCAAACCTGCCCATTCAATTTGTACTGGAATGTGAGGGGTTAAATTAAAGAAGCCCCTTTGTCTCCCTATCAGGATTTTGCTGCCTCTGCTATTGCTGAAGAGAATGCTAGTGACTGGTGGTCCAGCTATAAATTTACAGAGGGCCAAGCAATAGTAATTAAATGAGAGACCAGTTTCAAATGATGGTAAAATGGACCAATCATATCTTCCCTCTACAGGGTGGGATTTGTTATTGCTAATTTTAGGACATGTTCCACCCGCTGTGGGGACGAAGCGATAAAAGCCAGCTTGTTGGTTTGTGACAGAAGCCGAGAGTAAGGTTACCGCTACTGAGGAGGACATTGCTGCAAATTTTAAGAGTCAAGGTTTGCTACTGAAAAAATATATTTGTGAAAATGAAATTTGATGTGTGAAAAATTCTAATATGTAAAAATTCAGCTTTTACTAGCAGGAGTTTGTAATGAAGTAAATAAAGCAGGATACATGTGTGACATTCTTTTTTATTAAAATCCAGGCTCAATGAAATGTGTGGCAAAAACAAACAAGACAAGAAACATATTTAGTGTACAAAGTCACTTT